TTTCTATACTCATATCAAACAAAGAGACATCAAGCCAAAGTTAATCAGAAGGGACAAAGAAGACTATTTTATACTGCTTAAAGGAATTACACATTTTCAAGACATAGAAATCATAAATATTTATGCCCCAAACAATGGAACATCTATATACCTCCAACAAACCTTTCTCAATTTTATGAATCAAATAGACCACAACACAATAATACTGGGTAGCTTTAACACACCTCTGTCACTACTGGATAGATTTTCCAAACAAAAACTAAACAAAGAAATTATAGAACTAAATAATGAAATCAATAATTTAGACTTATTCATCAATGACTGAATACACTTTCTTTTGGCAGCAAATGGATTTTCATCTGTTACAGACCATATGTTATGGCACAAAGCAACTCTTAGCAAATACAAAAAAAGAAAAAAGAAAGAAAAAAAGAAAAAAAAAACCCTTGCATTCTCTCAGACATTAACGGAATAAAACTAGAAATCAACGTTAAAATAAAAATAGAAGCTACTCTAACACCTGGAGACAAAATAATACACTATTCAATGACAGTGGGTAGCAGAAGAAATCAGGAAAGAAACAAAAAAAAATACTTAGTGGTAAATGACAACACTAATACAAAATATCAAAATCTCTGGGACACTATGAGGAAGCCAGTGCTAAGAGGAAACTTAATTGCATTGAGCTCATTTATTAAAAGAATAAAAAGTTAACAAATAAGTGACCTAACATTATATCTGAATGCCCTAGAAAAATAACAAATCAACCAAAAGCAGTGGAAGACGGGAAATAATTAAAATCAGAGCTAAAATCAATGAAATAGAAACAATTCAAAAAAATGATAAAATGAAAGTTATTTCTTTGAAAAAATAAATAAAATTGATAAAACCTTAGCTTCAGTAACAAAGAGAAAGAGATAAAAGTTACTAAAATTCACGATGAAAATGAAATGTTATGATGGACAGTACTGGAATATAGAAGATAATTAGAAACTATTTAGAAAATTTATACTCAAATAAGATAGAAAATCTCAAAGATATTGACAAATTTCTAGTGACATATTACCTACCTAAACTGAATCAGGAAGACATACACAAATTAAATAGATCCATTTCAAGCAATGAATAGAAGACACCGTCAAAAGCCTACTAACTAAGAAAAGCCCAGGCTCAGATGGATTCTCAGCTGAGTTTTACCTGACCTTCAAAGAAGAATTAACACCCAAAGTCTTCAAATTATTCCAGGAAATAGAGAAGAGGGAACCCTTTCAAACTCATTCTATGAAGCTAGTATCATCCTCACCCTGCTACCAAAACCAGAAAAAGACGTAGCAAGGAAAGAAAACTTCAGACTGATATTCCTGATGAACATAGATGCAAAAATTCTTAATAAAATTCTGGCAAATTGCACAAGAAAACATAGTAAAAGCATAGTGCATCATAATCAAGTGGGGTTTATTTCAGGGATGCAAGGATGATTCAACGTATGGAAATAAGTGTAAGACATCACATTTACATACTTAAAGACAAGAATCATATCATCATCTCAATAGATGCAGGAAAAGTATTTGACAAAATACCACCCCTTCATGTTCAAAACACTAGAAAAACTAGGGATAATAGGAACATATCTCAACATTGTAAAAGCTGTCTATGCTTAGCCCCAGGCCAACATCATTCTAAATGGAGACAGGTTGGAAGCATTCCCTCTAAAAATTGGAATAAGATAGGGATGCCCTCTTTCACCACTTCTATTTAACATACTTCCTTAAATAGTAGCCAGAGCAATTATACAGACAAAAAAAAATTAAAGGGGTATAGATAGAAAAAGAAGAACTCAGATTAGCACTATTTGCTGATGATATGATTCTATACCTAGAAGACCCCAAAAATTCTACCAGAAAACATCTAGAACTCATAAATGAATTAAGAAAATTAGCATGATATGAAATCAATACCTTCAAATAAAATGCATTTCTATACATCACTGATGATCCCCTGAAAGAGAAATCAGGAATATTACCCCATTCACAATAGCCTCAACAAGTGAGGTAATAGACCTCTGCAATGAAAACTACAAAACACTAAAGAAAGAAATTGAAGAAGACTTTACAAGATGGAAAGACCTCCCATGCTCTTGGATAGGAAGAATTAATATTGTCAAAATGGCCATACTACCAAAAGTTTTATGCAGATTTAGTGCAATTTCTATTGAAATCCCAATGACATTCTTCATAGAAATAGAAAAAGCAATCATGAAATTCATTTGGAAAAATATGAGACCCAGAATAGTCAAAACAATCCTTAGCAAAAGGAGTGAAGCAGGAGGCAACACAGTACCAGATATTAAACTATACTAGAGAGCAATGGTAACAAAAAAGGCATAGTATTGGCACCAAATAGACATGTAGACCAATGGTACAAAATATAAGACACAGAGACAACCCACATACATACAGTTATCTCATACTAGACAAAGGCACAAAAAAAATAGAGAAAAGATAGCATATTCAACCAAATGTAGCAAAATGAATTCTCTCTCTTTTCCTGTACAAAACTCAACTCAAAGTGGATCAAGAACCTAGGAATTAGAGCAGAGACCTTGTGCCTAATGGAAGAGAAAGTAGGCTTAAATCCTTACCATGTTGGCTTAGGGATTGACTTCCTTTACAAGACTTCTAACATGCAAGAGGTAAAAGTAAGAATTAATAAATGGTATCAATTCAAACTAAAAAGTTTACTAAGAACAAAGGAAACAATAACATGAAGAGTGTGGGGCTGAAAACTAAGATGGCGCCTGGCTAAATGCCAGTAGGGGACGCTGAAGTTGTTTTGAAACCTCCCTGATTGGCTTACTTCAATTCCATGCTGGTGCACAGCTCATGCTCTTCATTAGAAACTATGGTATGGGTATACTTGTGGATTCCTTCTGCTGATTTGATCTTTATGTTGATTGATTCCGGCTTTTCTGTGTTTTAAAATGATTGGCTTTTACTCCTTAGGTATGTTGTGTGTGTTTCCTCAATAAATGAGATCCTGCATTGACTAGTCTCCCAGTACGTCTGATTGTCCTCCAGTGGGGAGGGCTGGGTGGGCGGCTGGCCGACCCTCACCTTTCTTGATCTATCTGGGTTGTGGCATGCTCTCCTAAGCCTCTCTGCGGGACGGAGTCGATAGAAGAAGCTAAAAACCCCAACAGAAGAGAGAGCCTACAGAATGGGAGAAAAATTTTTGCACCTGCACCTCAGATAGTGCACTAATCTCCAGGATATATAAAGAACTCAATAACTTAACACCAAGAGAAACAAGTATCTCAATTAATAAATGGACTAAGGAACAGAACAGACACTTCATAGAAGAAGAAATACAATTGATTGTTCAACATTTTCATATCTAGCAATTAGAGAAATGCAAATTAAAACTACTCTAAGATTTCATCTCTAATCAGGGTGGGAAATATCAAGGTTACAAGCAACAATAAGTGTTGGTGAGCATGTGGGTAAAAAGGTTCACTTATACATTTCTGGTGAGACTGCAAATTGCATAAACACCATACAAAGCAGTATGGAGATTCCTCAGAAGACTTGGAATGGAACCAGCATTTGAGCTAGTTATCCCACTCCTTGGCATATATCCAAATGACTTAAAATCAGCATGCTACAGTGGACCAGCCACAACAATGTTTATAGCGCTCAATTCAGCTCAACTATGGAACCAATCTAGATACCCTTCAAGAGATGAATGGATAAAATGTGGTACATGTACATACTGGATATTACTCAGGTTAAAGAAGGATGAAATTATGACTTTTGCAGGAAAATGGAAGGAACTAGAGGATACCATGCTAAGTGAAATAAGCCAATCCCAAAAAAATGAAGGCTGAATGTTTTCTCGATTATTGGATGCTGATCCATATTGGAAGTTGTGGTAGGGAAGAATGAAGGAACTTTGGATTGTGCACAGAGGAGTGAGGGGAGGGGAGGAGCTCAGGGATGGGAAGAATGGTGGAATGAGAATAACGTTATTATCCTGTATACATGTATGATTACATTATTGGTGTGACTCTGAAAAATGTACATCCATAGGAATGGGAAGTTGTGCTTCATTTGTGTGCAGTATGTCAGAATGCATTCTACTATCATGTATAAGTAATTAGGACATAATTTTAAAAGTTATATAGGATATCTTTCTCAAAGGAGTGTGCTATGTTCCAAAAAAAAAAGCATCTAACATTCTAGTTAAGTATAACAAAAATTTTAACTACTATAAATTCTTGTATGAATTCAACACATATTCGTTTTCTTTATGGTGATTCACAAACTAAGAGTTTCATTGGACACAATTTATAACACTATTTTTCAGAAAACAAGGTGACTATAGTCAAACTTTTACCTATGTTAGCACATTGAAAGAAAAATCTTGAATGAAGAAACTTATCAAGAATCTTGCATGCTGTACACAGCATTAAAATTATTTGATGCTTCTAATTTTTGATACTTTTTAAATTAAAATATGAATTTTTTATTATTTTTTGGTGCTTTGTATTTGTACATATTGATGGGATTTATTGTTATGTATTTGTACATGCACACAATATCACACTCCAGCATTTGTCTCCTCCCTCCCTACCTCTTGCCCCTTAATCCCTTTCCTCTACTGATCTCTCTTTCATTTTTAGGAGATCCACTCCCACTGTTATTTTCCCTTTTCCTTTCTAGTTTCCACTTATGAAAGAAAATACACAGGACCTTAACCTTCTGAGTTTGACTTATTGATGGTCTTTAGTTCCATTTATTTTTCTGCAAATGCCATAATTTTATTTTTCTTTATGGTTGAATAAAACTCCATTGTGTTTAAAAATTACTTTTTAAATATTATGCCTATAAAATACCTATGAATATTTTATGGGTTTATTTATATCACTAGATTACCAAGTATAAAATACCTTCTGGAAAAAGTTTTATGAAAGATAAAATTATTGAATTCTTTTCTTTATACAGGGAACCACCTATGAGGATGAGCTTAATAATATTAAATATGTTATTTCAAGTATTAATAAAATTCTGGCTCATAATTCACCAGTTTTGATTGTTCAAAGATGGATACGTGGCTTTTTAATTAGAAAAAAATTAAGGTATGTTTTATTTTCTTTCCCATTTGAATATTCAAATAATTAGAAAATTAGTGATAAAAATTCTCTAATAATTCACATTTTTGTATTCTCTCTCCTTAAAATGATATTTATACACCATTTGACCTAAGTTAAAGAAAATAAGACTTTGTAGTGATGTATTAGAATATTTATAATTATCAAATTTTGATACTTTATTTTTTGTTTAAATAAACTATAAAGTAACTAATCAATACTTTTTTATAAGCATTGTTTGAATAATTCTGATAGTGTTTAAAATTTATACTTAAAAGTATAAACCAAAACCACATTGAAATTCTGTAATGTAATGAGATATAATAGAAATAGAAGTCATGAACTATATAATGTAATATAATAAAAATATAAACATTAAAATATGTATGAGGATTTTAAGTTTTGTATAAATCTAAAGATAATTTTGCTGAGATATCTGCTAATACATCAATCTGTTTTATCCTTAATTAGTTGTTCTTTCCTCTCTGGAACTGATCTTTACAAATAAAGGAAAATCTTTCTTGCTAGAATCTTTTCACATTGTACTTGGAGAAGTAAAGTAGGATACTGTGTCATCAATATATGTGTAATTTCCAAATATCAAACTTGTGAAAAATAAATGAACATTTTCATATAGCTTATTTTCAGTTGTGTAATGATAATATTTAGAAGATGTAAATGCAATTTGTATATAAGTAGAATTAAAACAGGTACAGATTAGAACAGTGAATGTTTCCTGAGAATGCAAGATTGGGAAGTTTCACCAAAATGAGATTCAGCATTCTGTGGTAAGGTAGAATGTCTTCCTTTCTCAGCCTACATGTGTTAAATCATACTTGTTGATAGTCCTGATAAAGAGAGACAGTTATAGGGACATGTAGCAAAGTTGACAGTAATACAGTATCTGAAAGTTCTGAGGAGTGATTCCATATACTTTTCAAACCAAGGTCAAATTATAAGGAAGAATGTGTTCAGAAAATGGAAATATGTGAAAACATTGGAATAAACGATATGGAAAAGGATCAGGTGGTTGCTGACACGTGCATCTTTATTTAAATATTATTTCAGTCTCATATGTTCTATTTAAATTTAGTATGTACTTTAAATGAAATAAACATCTAATTCAACGAAATTGGCTTTAGTTTATTCCCCAGGATTGAGTTTTCTCTCTTATAATCAAGGCACCTTCTGATACTCAGTAATGTGAGTGAGATAAAAATCTTTCTTCATGGAAACAATCTCTGAAAACTCTGCATGTATGACTAGTTTCAATGAGTTTTGTGGGGAGAGAAATCAGTAATAATAATACATCACAGTGGTTCAAGACAGACTGGTTGGAAATGCTTTCTTTCTTTAAAGTTTTATTCTATTAAGAGCACATCACTTAACTACTGTGAGCGTAAATTTCCTCATCTGTAAAATTGTAAAGAACAGGGGCTAATAGTACTTATTTCTTTGTTTGCTTGTGGGAATGGAGATCATGAATATAATGCATATAGCACGTAAAAAAGGTGGATATTACATTCTCATTAGATGCTATTTTTTTTCTTTTTTTAAATCATCGTTGTTGTTGCTGTATTTGGTGTTGTCTGCATTATTTGACTCTGAGGGATAAGTTCCTTAGATTTCTTGCTCCCTTTCAATTATATTTTCCACAGCATGCCTAGAGTGATCTTTCAAAAATAGATGTCGGATCATTTTATTCACCTAATTAAAATCTTACAAGTGGCATCACACAGTTTTGTTATCACAAACACTTACTATACATGCTGCAGTTGTCTATGTAATTATCTGTATCACCAGATATAATGTAAGCTCTGTGAGGTGCAGAGACTCCATATCTACTTGTTTTCCTTATCTGTAGCATATAACAGTACTTGACACATGTTGAGTGCTCAGAAATGTTTGTGGAGTTGATTAATACATCAATAAATGAAAAGAGTATGGGAGCTGTAATCAGAAAAGTATTTCTTAATTCATCTATGGGAAAGTGAAATCCAGAACTGGGGACACAATATGCTGCCCTGACCTCTGAGTATAGATCCCAAGTGATTAGTCTTCTTATATCTATTTCTAGCCTTGAGAAATGCCTTTCCACACTCAAAACAATTTTTAATCTTGCTTGAAATTTTTTGCTTAAACTACTTGAAATATTGTATACAGACTAAACATTAAGATTAATGCTACTACATTTTAGAATGGAAGTGTTTTTAATATGGATGATAGGATATACTATGGGGAGTACATTTTCATTCTTAGAATAAAATACTATAATCGAATTGGCAGCCTCCTAAACATAGTTGACAATTATGTTGAGCTCATAGAGAAATTATTGATTGGGTTGATGAGCTGTGAAAGAAGTATAACATGGAAAATGGGGAAAAAACATTTATTACAGGCACCGTTTATGTAAAGAATTATGTTAATCCACTTTATATCATTTAGTCCACAGAGTTTTTGAGTTTGTCTTGTATTTTCTGTTGATAAGTAAAACATTAAGGATTTAAACTTGGTGGAGAATTTAAGATATTTATTGATTGTCAGCTACTATTTCGTGTTGGTCATTTGTTGTTAGTTACAAGGAGATGAAATTGTGTAAATTAAGTCTGTAAATATTGGGTTTTATTTCTTGAATTCCAATTCTGGGCTCCTTTACTTTTTGAAGCCCTGAAATTAACTATTTCCAGAGAGCTCTGGTCTTTTTAGTGGGGACTGATATTTGGAAACTCATCTGGGAGTTCATGTGTTAATTGCTCTTGGGGTGTCATGGTTCCTGGGCCATTTCAGCAAACAGAATCTAAATTGATTATTTTTTACATTATGATTTCATATTGATTCCTTAAATACTAATTCAACACAGAGGGTTCTTAACTGCTTTCCTTCAACATTATACTTTCTTTCTACTATGAGAATTAGGATTATCAACATTATCTGTATTTTCACATGTTAACTCCATAATACAAAATAGATTTAGAATTATTGTATATTTACTACTATCAATACATATTTAATAAAACTTGAGATTTGTTAGGTTATTCTTTTTGTCATTAGAATGGAGATATATAATTTAAATTTTCTGTTGAATAGTTATTTGTTTTATTTAGCAAAATGATATTAGTTATTTAATGATTTTGTTTTAATTTAAATATATTTCATATTTTAATCCATTTTCTAGAACATTTTATTTCATTTTTATTTGTAATTATGCTTCTTCTAGTTCATTCTTTCTAAAATGAGTTTTTAAAGTATTGATTCTTTTTCTGTCCTATCACTATTTCCATTTTTTTAAAATTCTAGCTTATGTTGCTTTTGTAAGTTTTATATGATTTTCTTGCTTTTACTTCATTTTGAAATAATAGGTCATAGTTTTTTTTTTGTTTTTTTTTTAAGATAGGCTTCACTTTCTGTCTTTCTTTCATGTCTATAGTGATGTTATTATTTTCTTTTTCTGTATTATAACAACTATACTTGATTACATAGAAATACTGTTATATTGTTCTTGTTATGAGAAATTAGTTTTTCTGAACTTTAAGAAGCTTTTTTACTTTTGGTTCTAACACTGCTTCTTTGTTGTTTTTGAATAATATTAAAAATATCATGATTTGCTTTCCAATTTCTATGGCTCTCTTTCTTACTACCCCCCTTTTTAATGTCGACTCTCTCTCTGTCTCTTTCTCTGCTACTACTGCTGCAGCTGCTCCTGCTCAATTTGGATTCTGTCTTCAGGACCATCTCCTTAGTTATGAAATTCGACCTAGGGTACAGCTTTGGCTGCTTAGTTTTGGGGGTTCATTGTCCCACTGCTCCAGACCCTTACTGGAGATTCCATTTACATATGTTCAAATATGTAACTCCCCCCCACCAAGATTTGCAATTTACTATTTAGTTTCTGTCCTTAAATTAACTCTACAAGCTTTCCAAGTAGTGTCTAACTTTTTTTGTTTTATTTCTAATCTTCAGATACCTAAATGCTTCCATCAATTTCCTCCTGCATAGTTGCTAACACCAGAGTGTCCTTATAATATTGATGGATTTCCCCAATTGATTCATATTTCGATTTCCAAAGGATAATTTTTCGTAATGAATTATTCTATAGTCATATTATGAGATGAATGGTTAGGTAAATAGCTATTTAAGAATCAAGAAAGTTAAATAGTATAATTCAAATAATTGACTACTTCTTGTATATTAAACAAAGAAAAATTAGTGATAGTGAATGTAGGTTAAAAAAAATCAGTGATAGTGGATGTAAATGTCAGGAAGATAGATTTCATCTCATTTTCCAAGAAAAATTGCTAATTATGTTTATCTGAATGATATCGTAGTAAATTTCTTTTAATAAGTAATATTAAAATAGGAGTCCTTTGAACATTGGAATTTAATAAAGAATACTTTAGCACAGTTCAGAGTTTATTAGTTATAATGCTGAAGATATTTTAGACTGTATTTCCAAGTAAATATCACTAAATATGTTTGTACATGCATCAGAATACAGGAAGAAAACAATATACGATTATATTTAGATTAGGAAAAAGGAAACTTAAAATTATCACTATTATAACTTCCTGAATGTGATAAAATTTCTTTCTAGAAGAAGAAACAATATGTTTGTTTCTTTTAGTTATTATTTGATTTGGCTTTATGTAAGAGATTCCCCAGCCTGTGGTTTAAGCCAGGCTAAAGTTTTCTTTTTACAACAGAAGAGTCCATACTTCAAGAAGTCTAGGCCTGTGACTGCACAAACATAGGAACCCAAGCTTCCTTTAATTTTCTACTTTATCTTTCTATGTTTTGTCTTCTATCCCAAACACACTTGTGGTCCAAAATGGCCGCCCAGTTCAAATCATTTTGCATTTGGAAAACTCAGAAAGAACTTGTCACTTTACTAAAACAGCAACTATAGTAAGCCTTAGTAGGAATACTATATTTCTTTTTTCCTACATTTTCTTTGCCAGAATTTAGTCATCTAGGTACATTGACAGCAAGGG